AGAAGAAGAAGAAGAAGAAGAAGAAGAAGAAGAAGAAGAAGAAGAAGAAGAAGAAGAAGAAGAGGAGATTGGATTTATACCCCGCCCTTCACTACCCAAAGGAGTCTCAGAGCAGCTTACAAACTCCTTTCCCTTCCCCTCCACACAACAGACACCCTGTGAGGTAGGTGGGGCTGAGAGAGCTCTTGACAGAAACTGCTCTTTTTCAAGGACAGCTCTTATCAGAGCTGCGGCTTGCCCAGGGTCATCCAGCCAGGTGCAAGTGGAGGAGTGGGGAATCAAACCCGGTTCTCCCAGGTTAGAGTCTGCGCACTTAACCACTACACCAAACTGGAAGAGGAGGAGGAGGAGGAGAAGGAGATTGGATTTATACCCCGCCCTTCACTACCCAAAGGAGTCTCAGAGCGGCGTACTAACTCCTTCCCCTCCCCCTCCCCACAACAGACACCCTGTGAGGGAGGTGGGGCTGAGAGAGCTCTTGACAGAACTGCTCTTTTTTCAAGAACAGCTCTTATCGGAACTATGGCTTGCCCAAGGTCATCCAGCCAGGTGCAAGAGGAGGAGTGGGGAATCAAACCCGGTTCTCCCAGATTAGAGTCCGCGCTCCTAACCACTACTCCAAACCACCACCTCCTGAGGAAGCGCGTTCCCCTGAGGAATTGCTTTAACTATCAGGAAGCTCTTCCTAATGTTTAGCCAAAAACTCTTCAGATTTAATTTCAACCCGCTGGTTCTGGTCCGACCTTCTGGGGCAACAGAAAACAACTCTGCACCATCCCCTACATGACAGCCCTTCAAGTCCTTGAAGATGGTGATCGTATCACCTCTCAGTCGTCTCCTCTCCAGGCTAAACATACCCGGCTCCTTCACCCTTTCCTCATAGGACTTGGTCTCCAGACCCCTCATCATCTTTGTTGCTCTCCTCTGGACACCTTCCAGCTTGTCTACATCCTTCTTCAGTTGTGGTGCCCCAAACTGAACACAACACTCTAGGTGAATTCTAACCAGAGCAGAGTCTATACAACTTTCTATACATCTGTATACATTTTCGTAAAAGCGTCTTTTCTATACCCCGTAGACATGCGAAATACCCTGTAGCTGCGAGCGCTGTAGATTAATTCGTTACGTGACCGAATATTCTCTAGGCTTCCCGTTTCTGAAATGCAACATTTTCTGGGTATAAGTATTAGAGAATCAATGCTTCCTGGAGCTTTAACTAGTGAAAGCTGATACCCTGGATACCTTGGTAGTCTTTTTGGTGCTCCTGGACTCTGCCACAGACCAACACTGCACTGCTACCAGCCAGGAACTATCTTCATTGTGGGACAGTATACTAATTGCCTATTAGGGGACTTGTTTGAGGCCTCACAGGAAGTCAGTGGCAGAGACGGGGATTTAAAAATTATCCTTCGGATTCCATGTCTGGTACTGATACTGCCGGATTTCCCTTGCGCCAGACTCCAAAGCGGCAAGATGGCTGACGGTTAAATTGACTCCAAAGCAGTGTTCCCTCTAAGCTGAGTTAGCCTCTGGCTCATACATTCTTTCCTGTCTTTGCTCAGGAAGGAGGGCTCCAGAGCCAACTCATTGATGCAGCAGCCAAATCGCTCGCTCGCAACTTTAATGCCAGTAGCTCACAAAAGTAGAATTTTTTCTCATGAGACTCCACAGCTTAGAGGGAGCATTGCTCCACAGTATTTATCTCTTGTTCCATGTATCATTACTAGGATTTATCCAAGATCGGTGCCATTTCAAGGTAGTATTTCCTGGATTATTTTTTTTTTAAATATCCAGAGCAATTTCCACCTCCCCATCCTCCAGGAGACCCATTTCAACCTGTCCTAAACATGCAAATACACATCATGCTACGATTTAACATTACTGATCAACTCTGAAAACAGTAGCTATGGAATAGTCCAGCTGATAGTGCCTCTCTTTGCCCCATCAGTCAGGAATCTCCAATGGGGTATGTGCTTTCTGGGCAACGGAGATACTCTTGAGGTGCACACCCCCACACACCGGTCAATTGCCTTAGGAAACGCCATTATATCCATCTGTTCTCCATCCTGCACGGAGTGCCAATCAGGACAGAAAGAGATCAGTGCGATACAGGGCCTTCCCGCAGGTGGCCCCGGTCTGGTGGCTTGATTTCTCAAAACATGCTGCAGCCCATCTCCTGGGCGCACAGTCTGAGATCTTTCAATGCCAAGGCCCTGAAAAAGAGAGTGCCAGTCGCCCGCATTCCTACCTTGGTCTCTGCCTCCGTTAGGTCTTCCTCTGTTTCGGGATTCATCGGGGCCTCCTTTGGGTGTTTCTTCTCTTGCTCCCTCTCGCTACCTGTCTCCCGTCCTCATTGACGGCCCCCCTCGTTCCCCGTTGAGTCCTTCTCCTCGTTTCTCTGACACACACGTGCAAGTGTAGCAGGCTCTTTCTTTTAATCCCTCGCACGCTCTCCTTATTTGCCTCGGAGGAGTAAGGGTTTGGAGGAGGGGGGGTGGAATGCTATGAGTAACCCCTAGGATTGCATGAAAAGTGCAACCATCTCCCCGACAAAATAATAATTAGTTGCCGCAAAGTAGAAATTCAAGCTTTGCAAGGGGAAGAGCTTAGGGACTTGGTAAGAGAGAGAGAGAGAGAGAGAGAGAAACCACCTCCATCCTTGGCGTATGAGTCAGGAAGACACTATTTCTTTCCCCGATTCACCGAGGAAAACTGTTTTGTTTGTTTTCTTAACTCCTTGTGCGGGAAGCGCGAATGCGAGAAATATTGAAATAACTAAGAGCGGTATCCTTGGAAAGTAGGAGCAGGGACCGGTTTGGGCTGGCCGACTGGCAGAGCATCTGCTTCGTGCGCGGGAAGCCCCGGGGTGCGATCCGTTGGCCTCTCCGGCTCACACGATCAAAAAGTGGGCAGTGGACCGACCTGGATAGCCCAGGCGAGTTCAATTTTGTCAGATCTCGGAATTTAAGCAGGGCCAACACTGGCAAGTCCTTGGATGGGAGACCTCCTTGGAATACCAGCGGTCGGGAGGCGGGGGCAGGCTTTATTCAGCCATGACTTCCAGGTGCACACAAACGCACATGCACATATGAAAAAATGCCAAAAAATAGCCCCGCCCCCCCAAAAAGCAGGCAATGGGGAAGCCCACAGCCTGAGACCCTGGAAGCTGCTGACTATCAGAGGAAGCAGTATGGACCTTGGTAGACCAACGCTCTGACTCCTTTGAGGCAGCTTTGTGTGTACACAGCCATTACTCCCATACTACTTGAGTGTCCACCTGTGGAGCTGGCTTGCACCCCCAGGGCTTAGCTCACTGTCATCTTGGTCAGCAGTGGGCCCTTCCGGGTAGCAACCCGTGTTCCCTCTAAGCTGAGTCAGTGTGAGCAAGCTCACAGTTTTCTAGCCTCCGGCTCACACCCATTTTTGTCTTCGCTCAGGAAGGAGGGCCCCGGAGCAAACTCACTGATGCAGTGGCCAGATTGCTCGCTCGCAACCAGGGGTCATTTCCTGCAGGAATGCACAGGGGCGGAGCGCCGGCAGTAAAGAGCCCAGGGGACGGGCACATGCAACAAGCCCCACCCCCTGCTCCCAGCAGCCCTCAGTCAGAGCAAGAAGCAGCCAGGTAGGTTGCAGAGCCAACAGGTCCAAAACAGTCCAGTGGCACCTTTAAGGCCAAGTTTTATTCAGGTACAAGCTTTCCCTCCTCTGCGAGGACAGATCTGCACGTCCTCCCCCCATAGCTAGCAATCCAAAACAGTTCAGTGGAGCCGGAGCGGTGGGTGTTGCCTTCTGGCGCACTACCAGTGATGTCAGGGGGTGTGGCACATACAAATAACTTATGCTAATGAGTTATGCTAATGAGCTCCACCTCTTTTTTTACGAAATGACCCCCTGCTCACAACTTTCATGCCAGTCCCTCACCAAGTAGAATTTTTTGCTCACAGGGCTCCACAGCTTAGAGGGAGCACTTTTAGCAATCCGGGGGGGGGGCTTTCCCATGAAACTGAAGAGCCAGTCCCCACCACGATCTGTTCTAAGCAATCAGTAGCCTCAGAAGCGCTTTTCTGGCCCAGCATGCTTTGCGACTGTCCCGGCAACCAGCAGATAGGGGCTGGGCTGGCCAGCAATGCCTCAGGGAGATACCCTAGAGCAGGGGTCATTTTGTAGAGAAAGAGGTGCAGGAGCTTATTAGCGTAACTCGTTAGCATAACTCATTTCCATATGCCACACACCCCGACATCACTGGAAGTGTGTCAGAAGGCAACACCCGCCGCTCAGGCTCCACTGGACTGTTCTGGATCGCCAGCTATTGGGGGGGGGATGTGCAGATCTGTCCTCACAGAGGAGGGAGACCTTGTACCTGAATAAAACTTGGTCTTAAAGGTGCCACTGGACTGTTTTGGACCAAGGGCCCGGGGGGGGGGCTCTGCAGCTTACCTGGCTGCTTCTTGCTCTGACTGAGGGCTGCTGGGAGCAGGGGGGTGGGGCTTGTTGCATGTGCCCGCACCCTGGCCTCTTTACTGCCGGAGCTCCGCTCCTGTGTGCTCCTGCAGGAAAGGACCCCTGCCCTAGAGACCTGCTGCAGTCCATCCTGCACGATCCTGCACGGGGTAGAACGATACATCATGCACCGAAGTAGAGATACCAACCTCCAGGTGGGACCTGGGGATCCCCTGGAATTACAGCTCATCTCCAGACTACAGAGATCAGCTCCCCTGGAGGAAATGGATGCTTTGGAGGGTGGACTCTCTGGCATTGCACCCCACTGAGGTCCCTGATCTGTCCCAGTTCCAATCCCAAATCTCCACGAGTTTCCCAACCTGGATCGGGCAACCCTACCCCCCAGTGGCCAGGAGGGATCTGGCAAACCTAATCAGTACAGGTTTTCTCATCCCTGTATGACTAATCGAACCTTTTGAAATACCTTCTTCCAGGGGTGATTTCCTGCAGGAGCACACAGGAGCAGAGCTCTGGCAGTAAGGAGCCCAGGGGGCGGGCACATACGACAAGCCCCGCCCCCTGCTCCCAGCAGCCCCGGGCCACAAGGAGCAAGAAACAGCCAGGTAAGTTGCAGAGCCCCCCCCCCCAAAAACCCACCAAGCAAAACCGAGAGA